TCTTACCAGGTGATAGGTGCTGAAGACTGTACAACAGTATTCAATACGTCGAGAAACCCAGCGGCGACCGTGTTTGATAATGCGAGGGAAGCATATCGAAAGGAAGAATGCCTTGACCATAAGATTGAGAGACTACCGGGTATCAGCGTCAAGCTACTCGATGAGTGGACCAGAACCCACAAGCATGATGCTATTCTGACCAGGAAGGAACCCGAAGACACTCGTTCCCACGAGCTGTAGACCTATATGAACATACCCAGTCGCGAGTACGCTGAAGAACGCCCCGAGTCCCAGCCAAAGCAGGTTGTAGTCTCTCTTTGCCGCGCCTCGAACAAGGTGTTTGGTAGGAATAAAGATCTTGAGTGGAGAGAGGAAAGATCTCTTCTTCTTTTTGACGTCACTCTCTTGTGAGTCCTCGGGAGGTATATTGGGGAGAAAGAGAGATCCGGAGAGGGTGGTAAAGCAAAGAAAGCCGAAAGCCGCGTAAAATGGACCGATGAGGCCAAGGCAGGGGAAGAAAAGGAGACCGCCAGCTTGTGATAGTAAACACACGGCCGGCGTGACATTATGAGAAGAGCTCACCGGAAAACCCGATTGACGACCCCATGAATACGATACCAGTCAAGACGCCAAACTTTGCGGTCCGATCCTCCGCCTTCGCAAGGATTGCAATATACATGTTACACGCAATCTGGATACCCCCGGGAGAAACCAGAAAGTTCAATAATTGTGACGCCTGGATGATTCTGATACCCCGACTACCGCCTGTGTTGATTGCGTATATATCGGCAAGATTACGAAGGGCGATCCAGAAGGTCTGTTGAAAGACGGTAGCTTTGCATCCGTGCCTTTTGATGAACCAGGTCGCGTAGAAGAGGTTGCCGATTGCTATCTCCAGCATCAGCTTGGAACTCTGTTCTGCGAGGGATGTACCCACTCCCCATCGTTGTCATCATGCTCATCAACGCCACGTGTGAAGCACTCTCTGCTTCAATCTTCGGTAGCGAACATTTGTCATCCCCCCTTTCCCCCACCCAATCGTGCGTCTTGTAGTATTCGTCGCAGGTCATGACCCGAAAAGCGTAGATGAGGGTAGTTTGAGTGAGCCTGAAGGTCATGGCCAGGAGTAGAGAGGTGAAGAGTACGCGACGTATGGGAGAGTACCATGATTGGGTGTTGAGGGAGCGGTCGGCGGGAAGAGGAGATGAAGGAGGGAGGGCGGAGGTCTCTGTCGGCACGGATTTAGGAGAGTGGAGGAGAGACATAGCCAGAGCTGCCCAGAGATACGAGGGTGGATCGATAGGAGAGAAGTCATAAAGATGATATACTTGATACTGCACCTCTTATATCAGACGGGAGGAATGGTCGGCAGGCCAGGGTGTACGTACAGTGGGGGGAGGACGATCAGGTCTGTGATCATCATAACCGCTTCCTGGGGGGTCTTACTAGAATCGGGGGCAGCAGTAACGATGGGTTCGGTATGTGATTGTAATCTTACTGAAAAGGCACTGCAGAAGAGCGCCTGACTGTGTATGCTGTGTAGATGGGTGGGCGGCTTGGGCAATCTTACCACGCGGACGCGATTAACCAGGTCGTCTACCCTTTCCTTTCGACATGGGGAGGAGAGGTTTGCAGGTTGAGAATACTTGATAAGTGATTGTTGGACGCCAAATGAAGAGCCGGAATGTCGTTTAGGGAGCAAATAACCAAAGCTCAGTGTTTTAAGTTTGGATGATGTTATTAAGGAAGTAACGCCGTCGATCCTCTCTGCACGAGGCCGCACTTTCTGATATTGGCGAGTGCTCAGTCAAAGGGATCCTTTGAAGTTGCTTTGAAGCAATCCATTTCCGTGTATGTACTTAAGCGTCGTGTGCATAGCATGAAACAGGTCGAGAATCAGAGATCGATGATCGGAAATTTGTCCCGGCTCAACACGCGTATCAATTCAACGAAAGGTCGGAGACCTCGGAGGCCTCGGAGGATGATATGTGCGATCTAGGTACACTCGGCCCTATTTCTGCGCTCCCGGTGTGTTTGTCAGAATGGGGTACTGCGATCACTGTAGATGAAAAATTCCAGTTTCAAGTTGTTTTGTAATATGGCGGCAGGCTTTTCGAAACTACCCGCAGAGTCCCTTGTGTAAGATTGCATCTTCTTTCGCACCTTTGACGGTCACTCGCATCCGGCACGCTCGGTCTTCTTGTATACAATAGATGTACTACGTTTGTATCAGCCCCCTTCCATCTTTTTCTGGGGAAGAGGTCTACCTCATGACTTGAATTCAACGTTCTGATAGTAGAATGTACGATTACGATATATAGACTCGGCAGGAACAGAATTGGCGGTCTTCATCAGCTGAATCTCGACGACGCACAGCAAGACTCCTTCGACCTTGCGTATCATGCGCATGTAACGTTTACGTCGCTGGCTTATCATGATTCTCTTTCCTCGCAGTGTCCTTGTAGCCGACGTGGCACCTTACGCTTCGCCTTGTTGTTGGTTTCTAAAAATGGTGCGAAAGGGAGATCGCAGAACTCCGAAGACGTATAATTTAGCAGACAAGTGACAATCACTGTAAACAATGCATCTATCAAATGACTGCTCAGTAATAACCACCCCCATCCAAATCCAAATCCTCCAGGTGGTCTTTCTACTCCTCTGGTAGTTGTCTCAAAGCCCAATGCTCCTCGAAGCTATTCCCCCATGCTCGAAGGTTGATTTTCTTCTCAAAAGTCTGCTCGGCCGTCCTCTCCGGTAGACTCTGCACCATCTTGTAATCTTCAAACTTACTCGTGGCATACTTTCCCATCTCCTCTTTGAGGAACCCGCTGCCAAGCTGACTTTCGTCCAAAGTTCCTTCGAATTGCGATGTCTCCTTCACTCCGCTGTCCCATGAAGTTTTGATATTCGCTCTCAACTGTTGAACTCTGGTAGAGGTGTCAAAGACAGAATCGATGGTGTTGACAAGCGCGATGTCCTCCTTGGTCAAAGCTGCCTCTCGGTGAAAGAGGAGACGTTCTCTCGCTTTCGTTCGCTCAGCGTTGCTTTGAGCTTTGCTGTAGCGAAGGGAAGCGAGCTCAACACCTCGCTCTACAGAGTCCCGATCAGAACTCTAATAGTGATAGGAAGAGCAAGAGCAACATACCGGTCCCCAAGTTTGACGTTTGAGTAGGGAATCCTGGAGGTGCTTGATCAACAGGAGTAGTAATCGTGATGTCTGCCAAAGATTGGAGCATCGCATCGGAGTAGCCCTCAATGATCGACAAGCGACTCTGTCAATAGGTCAGTCATCGTTCTTCAAGTGCTTCGTAAGGCACAGGGACGTACAGGTAGGAAACCCGACTCTGTGATCTGGTTCTCGTTCACCTCTTCTTCTTCGTCATCCGAATCACAACTATTTTCTCCCTCGTCATCGGACAGAGCGAGGGCGGCTTTGATGTTCTCGCGAGTGATTCTCCAGCCACCGTTGTTGCTATCTTGTTCGCTAGGATTGCTCATCGTGTTGCGCTGATGTGAATTTGCTTTGAGGGAGGAGATCAGTGGCAGTAAATGCAATATATATAACTCGGATAGTGGGCGAGACACAAGTGTGAGTCTATAAAGGATAGTAGTAGTCAGAGAAAGGTCAGATATCAGCGGTCCTCAAAAGACTTGTTTCGCTGAAAGGATCTCGATGAATAGGACACTGGTATTGTATGTACGGAAGGGTGGAGGAGATAGTGCCGCACTGAGTCTCAGCGTTTTCGTTTGGTCTTAATAGATTGACCAAGGACGTGTCGGCCATCTGCGTCGTAGTGCTGCCGCTAAAAGGACGTTCTTTTGATGAACCAAAAAAGGGCTGATCTTCAACGGTGCTCATGCCAATAACCATTGTTGTGATCGATTGGGGCTGTAGTAGTACCCGGCACGTCTTCGGAACCTGTCGTGTGACCCCGTCTTCCCTAGTCCAGAGCAGTCCGTGGTGCTGACGTTCAACAGCGCCTTGCTCAACCTATCACCCCGTAATTCCTCTGACACGTTGATATACCTATGCTCTTGCTGCAGTCATTGGCCGTTGAATGACTGTACTCGTACTCGATGTTGGGGAGCTGGTCTATCCAAGATAGATAAATGCGCAGGCTTTAAAGTTATCAAACTCTCCGTAGTTTAGTGTGGTTTAGAGCGTCAGACTGTAATTGGTTACAAATATAGACATCTGAAAGTCGTGCGTTCGACTCGCACCGGGGAGATTTTTTTGCTCTTTTTGGACCTACCTGTTGTACTCACATCTATCCACGACATCCGCTTCGATACCTTAGCACGGTCACTTATATCTCTAGTTTCGGGGCAATCATATACCGCGCAAAGGGAGACTACTCCCAGATTTCGACCTCGCGAATCTGCTTCAAGCACAAACGAGCTTCGCGGTGGATTTGATAATGCCCATATGTGGCATCACCACTCTCGTCTAGCATGTCATTCTCGTATCACAGCTCGGTCTGGAAAAGATGAGCAGACTTCTAGCCTGTGGCAAGCCGACAATGGCCGTCATCATTTGGGTGACACACGGCGCTGTTCTTTTCATACGCGAAGCTCGATACATCTTATACTCTGCCAAATTCTAAACCGGGAGAGCCCTGCATTTGTTACTTGTCCCCTGAAACTAAGACTACACGCTGTAGACAGGACCAGATGTTGACGACAACATCTCTGGATCAGTTCGCGGGGGCATCCTCTCCACACGCTCATCTTCATCGACCTCATCCGAACTGGACTCCGAATCCGAATCCCATCTATCGGGGTCATCTTTGGTAGCCTACATCAAGTCAGCAACCGACTCCACAAACAGAGGGGACGATAGACTCTCCTCATTGACCGAATCCGCCACCCGACTCCCCCAACACGACGACAAAGCCCTCCCAGTCTTCTCATCAATCCTTCTAATCTCCTCCCTCAACCCCTCCAGCTCCCCAAACGCCTCCTTCCCACTCTGATACCCTTCAGGATCGATCTTCTCAATATCTTCATCAATCCAATATTCCCTCGTAAACTTGCCGTGCAGCATTTCATTCTCGACATTATCGTCGTCGAATATCTGGCCCGCGAGCATGGGGGCCATGGAGTTGGTGAGGCCGCTGATGTGGGTACCGGAAGCTTGGAGGAGGTTGGAGCTAAGGTCGAAAGCCATTCTGATCGTTTCGTTCTCTTCTTCTGTCAATGACGCAAAGGTTGGCGCCGTGACCGCCGAAGCTGATGACGGGACTTTGGTAGACATATCAATCAGGCGCATAGGGGTGCTATGTTTGAGTATAGATGGTTCAAGTGGATGAACACTGCAATGTTGTGATGTAAGATGGAAAGTGGCAAACGTATCCCTCCAGTCACCGTGTCGCTCCATGATATACGTCACTCAAACAGTCCACACTGCACTCCTAACCGAACGACGCTCGAGTCAATGAAAGGACCACCGTATGAGGCATAAAGGGATGACAAAATGCGTCTTCGAATCGTGTGTCATGTTCAATTCCAAGAAAGGACGAGCTTCTGCGGGATTCAAAAGTCCGAAGCGTTCATGCTGAATTTGTGATCAGTGCTCGCTACGAGTAAAGTACAAGGGGGCAGGGACTGGCGGTCTATCTCACTCCATTTACCCGTATCTCCCTTTAATCGTATGACGGCACGGCCAGTATCTCTGACCAGTCTCCTCGGCAGCAGAACGACGACTCATCTCGTCTCCTCTTCTTCGTTGACATACTCGAACGCAGTGGCCCGTACTCGTACAATCATACATCCTTGCAAACAGCCTCATACTTCCCAGCTTTCTTTAATATCAATAAGCACGTTGCCAAGTTTATTTCTTCCTCTTTACATGAGCAGCGAAATGTACTACATACGCAGCAGACAAATATCACAAGAGCGTCAACGGACAAAGTAATTGAGCAGACTTGATCTGTCCCTCGAGCCTCCTCATAATCACCTACATCCTTGATCGGCCTCTCTCGCACCTCTTTTGGCATCATCATGCATCACCAGGTAATTACCTCATAGCCTAGGACATACCGAATCAGTTGCTCTAATCTACCACGACACAATTCACCTTCCTGACCTCTAGACATCAACCCCCGGCAAACTGCATTCATAGATATATATCTCACAGTCATCAGCTGATTGACAGCTCACACCATCATACCCCATCGAAAAATGGAGATGGTCCAAACGAGCCTTCTTCCCTGAACATGGCGTTAGGTTGGTGATCACGACAGCATCATACAGTATCATCGTTGGGAGCACAATTGAGCCATGCCCGCAGTTTTCGAATTATCCCGCCATGCACCTTCTTCTTTTGTCCACTCGAGCAATATTATTCATGGGAGCAGAGCTCAGATCTGCCCTTATGTACTTTATCATGCAGAGTATGTGGTCGTTCAACATCTCCGCCCAGTCTCCGCCAAAGACTGTATATCGCTAGGCGGCACACCCCACCATGAGAGCGGGATCAAAAAGACGCGTCGCCAACATTTCATCAACGAAGTCGCGTTCAACCTGCTTTCAACACATCAACTCGATTCATCTCTTTCCTTTCCCTTCCCTCCCCTTCCCTCCCCCTCCCCCTCTCCCCCCCACACCGATACCCCAAAAATCACGCAATATGGCCGACCTCGAAACCCTATTCAACTCCCCACCCCACTCTCCCCCTCCCCCCCCCCCCCCCCGGTCCCGGTCCACAACCCCCTCCACACCCCTCCGCCCCAACAGGCCAGAGCAAGAAGCCCTCTTCTTCTCCCCTTCCGCCTCCCAATTCGGCTCCCCCGCCGCCTCCCGAGGTCAAAGATGGCAGCCGGCTCAAGCGTTTAGCGATACCATGCCCGCCGACGCCGATGCCGACGTCGGCACCGAGGTCGGCGTCGGCGGGGGGGGAGGGATGGATCAAGTGCGGCGCGTCCAAGGTCGGCGAGAAGAACGTGCCGCTGAAGAAGGCGGAGGCGGAGGGGGGGGGATTGTGAGGGTGCGGCATGCGGTTAATGTGGTGGATTCCGTCGACCCCCTACCGAGGGATACGTTCGCTTCTCGTCCTGCTGCTTTGACTTCCGGCGGCGGTGGCGGCGGCGGAGGAGGAGGAGCGTTTGCTGGGGTTGGGGTTTATGGGGCTATCACCGATCCCTTGGCTGGTGCTTCTGGCGCCGGAGGAGATGGTGGGGATGGAGGGGAAGGGGAAGGGGAAGGAGGGGAGAAGAGGAGGAGGCCTGTGGCGAAGGTTGATGCTGATCGGTAAAGTCTGCTTTCCGTACATGGAGGATGGGAGGGCTGATGAGATGGATGGGATTTATCCAGGCTGTTATCAGAGACTACTGGCTTACCTGCTCTTATGCGTTCTGCTAAAAAGTTTAGGACGCGTGGTAAAGGCCGCGAGGTTTGTTCCCTTCTCCTTCTCCTTCTTCTCCCCTTCCCTGCTTCCCTGCGTACCGTGTACGTGTATCGCTGACAGTGTATAACAGAAAGACGACCTCCGAAACCTCCTCCACATGTACCAAATGTGGGCACACGGCATGTTCCCGAAAGGATCCTTTGCGCAGACGATGGAGAGGACTGAAAAGGTCTGCCGCACACGGCGTATGGAAGTGAGTTTTTGGCTCTGTTTCTTTGGGAGAAAGTCGTGTATGGTTGGGAAGCTGATGAGACTAGTCGGCGATAGGAGGATTAAGCGATGCATTCCACGGTCGACGTTCTCCCTCGCCCCCCTTCTCGCCTGTTGCCTCACCCACGCGCTCAAGGTCGAGGTCGAGGTCAAGGTCAAGGTCAAGGTCAAGGTCGCGTTCCCGTTCTCGTGCGCGAGAAGCATCAACGCAAGAACCCCTGTTCACAGAGGCCGGTCCGAGTGCGGCGAGTGCGGGTGGGGCCGACGGGTGGGATGGGCCAGACATGGACGAGTTGATGGCGATGGAGGCGCAAGAAGCTCTGGAAGGGCAGCAGGGGCATGAGGGGGCAGTGGAAGAAGACGAGTTTGATGGGCTGTATGATTAGAGTTTTGGCTTGATGTAGATCTTGTAATCTTGTAATGCTGAATTGTGAGTTTGTAATGAGGGGCCCGGGCGCCCCGCGACGTCATGCGGGGGACTCCGCTGTGCTTAAAGTAAGAGAGACGTCGTACTTTACGAGCCACCATGAGCGTCTTCAGCAGCGCATTCCAGCAGCCTCCCTCCCCCACCCCCGCCCCCACCCCCGCCCCCACCCTCGACGCGCTATGGCAGCACACGACCCCGACTCGGGCCTCTTGACCCCTTCGCCGGCTATCACCATTCGCGGCAACCACCCTTCGCCGTCTCGTCCCAAACGCGGTGCTCTGAGCCCGCTGCAGACGCTCTCCCCGCTCGAGCCGCTCAAGGCGTCGCCGCCTGTGCGCGTGACAGACACTGCGGGCGCGGGGCCGAGGCGCGCTTCGTTGACGAGGAGTCTGAGCAGGAGGGAGAGTATGGTCGAGAACGCTGCGGCGTGGAGGAGAGGCGAAGAAGTTGGGGGTGATGGCAGGGGTCTGTTCTCCAGGTTGACGTTGGTGAAAGCGCCCGCTGCTGAAAAGAAGGATGAGCGCAGGCAAGTCTTCTCCTCTCCATTCCGCAAACCACCACTGACTCTTTGCAGACACACGCGAAGCAAATCCGGCTCATCCCTCATGCCATTCAACGCCTTTGCCTCCTACTCTGACGCCCCCGCCACCTCCGCCTCGGGCCCCCGCCGTTCCTTCGCCGCCTCCTCCTTCGGCGCTTCCCCCTCTGCCCACTCGGTCGGCCTCCCCATGCCCGACGCCGTCAACAGAGGCTCCGCCCACCGCGTCCAATCCTGCTCCGGCAACGGCCGCAACGTCCAAAAAGACAAGCTCTTTTCCCCTGAACAAGTCGTCGAGCTCGCGCGGTCGATCAACTCGCCCAAAACGGCTTCATCCCCTCTCCACCGCGCGAAATCCGCGCGCTCCCTCCGCTCTTTCGGCTCTTTCGACGGATCGCCCGAAACGCCACAGGCAGAGCTCGAGCCGGTAGAGTACATGCAGATGGAAGAAGACGTCCTCCTCCCATTCATCGACCGTCCCTCCGAAGTCGCAGACTTGATCGCCCACCCCTCCAACACCAAACTATTCGCCCTCCTCCGCGCTGCTTTCCCCAAAGAACCCGCCCGGCCCGAGTGGAAATCCCTCAACCCCACCCAATGGCGCTGGGACGAGTTCCTCCTGCACCTCACCCGCGTCCCTCGTTCCGAAGTGGACGACTATGACTGGGTGTTCAAAGACCGCCAAGCCGTCAGATCGCACAGCGTGGCGTTGTGGGAGAAACTCGGGACGTGTCTCGGGTGCGACGAAGCCCTCCTCAACGCCGGCTCGGAGGACGGTTCGCCCAACACCTGGGCTGGCCTCGGGCTCGACGACGATGACGGCGAACAAGACGCCCCGGACGGACACGTCTGGATCGAAGGTCTCGCCGCTGAAGACCAGACCGAACGCGCCCACGCCGAACGTCAGCTGCGCGATGCGTTTGGCGGGATCGTGGAGGATGAAGGGGAAGTTGCTGCCGCGGGTATGACGGCGCTTCTTGGGCCTATCGGTGAAGGGGATGGGGCGGAGAAGGGGGGAGAGTTGACGCCGGCGCAGAGGGCGGGGCAGAGGGATAAGATTGATCCGATGGGTATGGGTACGGGTACGGGTTTGGGGTTGGGCGGGATTACAGAGTCCCCCGTCGAGGCCACCTTTGGGCACGACGAGAGCGGCTCCGCAGCCCCTCGCCGAAGCCGTCCTTCCTTCGTCGGTCTACAAATCTCCACTTTACCCTCTAACGGCCACTCTTTCCCCCGCTCCCCCTCTCTCACCACTACCTCCCTCTCCGCCTCCGCCCAAAACACCTCCCCTCCCTCTCCATCTTTATCTACAACATCCCACCTCCCCCTCTACACCTACGACCGCGACCCCGGTAACCCGCTCTTCCCGTCCTCCTTCTCCAACCTCTCTCTCGCGCCCAACCTCGGCAGGCGCGCGAGCAGTACTGTCAACGGTATCCACGGTGGGGCCGGGGGGATGTTTGGGAAGGGAGCAGGGGGGGCGGTGCCGATGAGGGATGATGTGGTTGGGGAGCTTAGGAGGAAGGGGTTCGGGTTTGGGGGGAGGAAAGCTAGTCAGGCGGGGTTGAGTGAGAGTGAGTCTTGATTTTGGGATGTGGACGGGAGCTGATGAGGTAATAGGTGCGATAACGTTTGCGAGTGAGAGCGATCTCAGCGCCCATTAGGCTGATTTTTCGTATCCCATCATCTCGTGTTCACCCATCTCGGCCAAATCGCATCTCATCACATCACATCGCATTCTGTATTCCCCCACATTGTCTCATATATCAAAATAGCACACGCCCGTGCGCTCATCTCTTTGTCTTCATCCTCTTTTTCTCGGAAACTCGGAAAACGTAAAACGAAAAAAAAAAACCCTCACAAAAATAGCTTGTATCGATAGTTTTTTTTTCCCTTCTCTCATCTCTTCTTCTCTTATCTCGTTCATCTTGTCATCTTCTCTTGCTTATCTTTTTTCTGTGCTTCTTGCTTGTGGGTGTCTGGTGTAGTTGGAACAGGAAGGGAAAAGTGGAAGTGGACGGAACGATCTCTTGCCTTCAACTTGATCTTGTTGATATTTTATTCACGCTTGTTTAATGATACTTCTTTTTGTGATTATGAGCTGGAAATGTATTTTCTGTGACGTCTGTATCAGGATCTGGGAAAGATACTCCACTTCAAGTCGGGGTCGAGGACAAGACACTTTTGTCAACAACACGTGACGTCATCGGCAACTTGTGACTTTTTGCTTTTTCGGCATCTCGCTTTTCTTGCACTTGTTACAGATATACATCATCGCGCCCCTTCCCTTCCCGTCTTTCTCCCCTCCAGGATGGTTCTCGATATAATAACAGCCACCACCCTCTGCCCCGCCATCATTGCCACCAAACTCTCCATCGAAGGCGGTACCCGGCGCAACTGGCGAGACGGCAACAAGAGTCTTCATTTAGAGGTGTTTGTCAAGTTTCAGGGGGTGGGGCGGTATAAGCGCAAGTTTGAGGGGGCTAGGGTTGTTTTGATGGGTGGGAAAGTACTTTTGCCTTTTTTCTTTGCTCTCTCTCTCGGAGAGAGCTTGAGAGGGACAAACTGACGCTTGGGTTGGGGTGTAGCTTTACATCGAGCATGCCGATTCGCATTTCGACCCCGGATCGATACAGCCGCTACTGGGACGGTTCCAGCCTTCACGGGAACATCAAGATGTATGGGACAAGACGGGGCATAAAGGTGATCTGTTCACATCCCCCGCGCCCACCTCTTCTTCTTCTTCTTCTTCGCCCTCCCTGACCACTTCCACATCCCCCGACGACGCTCCATCATGCGTCTACGTCGACCACAACACCCACGAACTAAAATACGGCTCCCCCTCCCTCTCCTCCACCCACCTCCCCGGCCCATGGTCCACCACCGACGTCCAGAAATGGCTCTTGTTTGAAGGCTGGGAAGGCTGGGTCGTCGTGCAGGAAGACGAAGAGCGGGACTTGTGGGCGCTGTATTTTGATCGGAGCGATGATGGCTTGACGGGGGAGGGGAAAGTGGGGGATGTGGAGAGGGGGAGAGGGAGGGGGGAGGGGAGGAGGATGTTGTATGTGAGGTTGGTTAGGAGGGAGCCTGCGAGGACGTTCGGAAAGCAGCGGGAGGATGAAGAGGAGGGGAGGAGGAGGGAGGCGGAGATGGAGGATGATAGGAGTTGTTTGTAGCTTTAGATGTAGAAGACTAGAATTGTCCGACCATGATGTATTTCACGATATAGACGAACATGATCTGCATCTCTTTGTATACACTCCTCGCCGTCATATCTCACCAAGATCCCTCTCATCATGTCGCCGATAGCGCAAGAACGCAGCTACTCGGGTGGCTTACTGACCGCCGCTCTGAGATGCTTCCGTTCCACCGTTCTGGGTGCCATCGTCTGCCTCGGAGACAGCGCTTCCCTCGGCAGGACCATTGCCAAACGCATTAGTGATGTCGTCCTTCTCATCCTGCGTAAAGATGTTGGGGTCCTCGTTGAGGATTTCGTCTCGGACAGAGGCGTTGGATTGGGTCTCAGAGGCAGACATTGTTATATTTGTGTCTGGGTTGTTGGGTTAGTTCAGAATTGTTGATGGGGAAGAGGGAGAAGACAATGAGGGTAGTTTTTATAGCCACTCGAGTTTGTTTGCCGGATGACTCGGAGGACTCGCTGACCGATGGTCAGTCGTGCGGCGTCGGCTCCGAATGACGACTCGCTGGGACATGTTGACCGACTCCCTCCTCGACACGGGCTCGCTCTCAAAGGGTATGTCGATCTCGGACAGATCCCCACCTTTTTGTTTGCACCTGATCCTTTGTCCTTTCGCGGCCTACCGGCCGTCATAGCAGCGGGCATGGGTGCTGAGGCCGGCCCTAGAATAAAGTAGCAAGACCGAGGCCGAGGATGTGTTGGGAGTGAAAGCTGGATACTCGACTCGGGCAGCGACGGCAGATGGGCTAGGTCATACGAAACAAAAGGCCTTTGACACTCGACCGTCGTCGGAGATTCTTATCATTTGGTCCTAACCTCGGGAGGTTGTCGTTCCGTCAAATTTGGTTTCCACCGTCTATATATATCGTTGCTTCCGGTTCTTACCCAACGGTAGTAATACTTGATAGCGGTAGCCGCTCGGGCATATGGAGGGTGTCTGCTTGTACAGACTGCACATCGTATACTCGTATACGTCGATAGATAGCAGAGAAAGATGGATAGATGTCTTGCTTTGACCGAAAGCAAGGAGAAGAAGATGTTTGGTGCGTTGCAAGCTATCCAACGACGAGACCGGCGACGTTTACTTGACCTCTGCAATGAATACACCTTCGTTCCCCGCTCGCCGGATCGACAGCGATGTACTTTAGGGAGGGGTTTTCCAGCTATGGGAGGTGACGCATTATGCTTTGAACGTATATATATAGCGTTGTACAGTTAGCGCCGCTTGAAAGACCATGCCAGGCGTGTGAGTGTCAGCAGCGCATCTCGCTCTCGTCAAAATCCATGTCGCTCTGTATACTGATAATATACTTCACACCCTGCATGTCTCGCTGTCAATCTGCATAGATCTGTACATTCCTGTCCACTTGTCGCTTGGTTGAAAGAGAAACCTGAACCAGCTCGGGCAAAGTGGAAGGACAAAGAGAGAGAAGAGTGAAAAAGAGCAAAAAAAGAATCTCCCCGGTGCGAGTCGAACGCACGACTTTCAGATGTGTATATTTGTAACCAATTACAGTCTGACGCTCTAAACCACACTAAACTACGGAGAGTGTTATGCATGCGTGTAAATTGTGACTGCCTAGTAGACCCCGATCGCCCCAATCTATAGTGTGCTCGCGCCAAAGCAGAGGCCGGGTTTTGATCCAGCCTCGCTGATAAGGTTCAGTGAGAAGGAGCGTACGTACGTGCGTACGAACGACCGGTTATGGCAAGCCGTCAAAGTCGGAGCATGGATTCCATTTCAGCTCCGACCCCCCTTCCCCTCGAGTGAAGGCGTCTTGGGTTCAGAAACTTCAGATACCGCCTGATTGCTGGGCTGCACACGGCACACGGCTCTCTGCATGATGATGATGCTTTTGCGGGAATGAGGCACTCGCCTGCCAGCTGACCGGGCCCGAGGTATATGTACTGGCTCGAGGAGGGACCCTGAGTCGACGTCGGTGCGGTGTAAAGCGAAGATACGATTTGTGCGGTGGCTGGGACGTGCATGAAGAGGGGTTTATGGGACGAAAGAGAGTTGTGGCGGCGAGAACCGCAGCGGGGGGGGGTGCCTGAAGAAGGGGCGGGCCCTGAGGGTCTGCCGTCTGGGCCCTGGACGGCGAGGGAAAGATGGGAAGCACGGTGGCCAATGGCGGGATGGTGCCAGTCTGCCAGATGCATGCGCTGAGTCTGGCTGCCGTACTCCCCGCGCTTCTCTTTCCCCCCCAGCAAGCACGCAGCACCCGACTCCCCCGCAACACTACGCACCCCCGCGGCGATCGGCGACTCCTGCGGCGTCTGATCCCTGCGTCTCCCGTTCGCGCAACATCTCATCTCTCTTTCCATTCGCATCCACCACCGTCCACCATCGGCCATACCCACCCCCGCCATCCCCCCCCTCCCTATCTATCCATCCACCGTCTCTTCCCCACTCATCCCTCTTGCACACACCCATTTCATCCCCCGGCCTGCCCCACCCTGCGCAGAGAAAGGATCCCAGAACCATATTCTCTCGTCGGTCCCCCAAACTCGACCACACCGTCTTTGACCGCCTATCAAAGGTTTCTCCGCCCCTCTTTTCAATTTTCCCCAGTCCAGCCTTGGGTGTGCATCTGGCCCTGTTGAGAGAGTTTTGTGATTCCCACCGGGTACGTCGCTTTCGTCATATGTCTTCCCTCTGCATTATCGATCGCTCTCTTTCCCCATCTTGAAAAAAAACTCTATCCACCCCAAACCTTGAATGCCCGTACTGATACAGGAATGTCCACATAGCCCGTGATACCGCCATGTCTGTCCCCGCACCTCAAGGTTTCGAGAATCCCGACGGGGTGTACACCACCTTTGACGCCCAAAGGTCGCAACCTCAACCACAACAACGTCCCGCCCCGCAGCCTCAGCCTCAGCCCTCGTCGCAGCCTGTGGCTGGACCGAGCAACTACAATGGGCAATTTGCCATCCCCTCGTACAACCACAATCCGCCACAACCCCAGCATCCGGTTCCATTGCATCTCCAGCCGTCGCCGTATGCGTTGTCGTCAGGGAACATGGTACCAAGCTATCACCAGGGCGTGAACGTGGCTTATCAGGGAGGAGGCGGGGGTTACGGGGGGTCGAATTATCATTTCGGGGGAATGTCGGGGGTACCGCCGCCTATGCCTGCTGTACCGGGCGAAGACAAGTCGGGGGATGGTGAATCAGATGTGAGTCTTGAGCGGATCTTTCGGCTTTAGGCTCCGAGCTGACTTGTGGAGCAGGCCGCGACGGTAAAACATCGACGACGAACGACGCCGGATCAACTCAAGGTGTTGGAGTTTTGGTTCGAGATCAATCCGAAGCCGGATAACCAGTTGAGAGAGCAGTTGGCGGCGCAGTTGGGCATGACAAAGAGGAATGTCCAGGTTTGGTTCCAGAATCGGTACGTCCTTCTTTCTTCGTTTGGGATCGAGCTGATATATGCTTAGGCGAGCAAAGGTGAAGGGTATCGCTAAGAAAGAGGCTGAAGGCAACAAGAATGGCTCTTCCGGCGACCTCTCCTCCAGCCATACCCCTCAAGACCACTCTTACGTCGACCCCCACTACCCCTCATTCCTCCAACCCAACCCGTCTCACTCTTTACCCATGGGTCGTCGAGCCTCGCTCGCCAACGGCGAAGCAGCCAAGATCGAGATGTTTGTCGCCAAGCGAGCTGCGGCACAGAAGCAAGAGGAGGTGCTGAGTCATGTCAAGTCGAATTCGGGATCGGGCCACGGGCTGGGAGCTTCGACGGGGACGACGGGGTCGGGGACGGATATGGGCCAGGCGAATGCGGCGCGGAGGGGTAGTATCCCTTATCCTTCGCCGGTGACGTCGTTCCCCCCACCGCCTCCACCTCAACAACTCCCAACGCCGATGAGCCCCAAGTTTTCCCCCGCCACAAGGGCAGGGCCATCAGCGCTCCATATCGCTGCCATCCGCAACAACACCCGTCGAGCGAGTATGCCTGGTGCGCCGCAGCTTATCTCGAGTGGGCCGTTCACGCCGCCGAGGGTGGTGGGTGCGCAGGTGCCCGGGGCGGTGGTGGGAGGGAGGGCGAGAGAGTTGAGCCCGATTAGGGATCATGAGGTTTATGGCGAGTCGGAGAGCTGGGGGTTCTTGCCGCCTCCTGCCGAGTATGACGCCCCGACTTTCTTGGATGATTCGCCCCTTCCCAATCCGACATTCTCCTTTGGCTCTGCGCCGAGTAACCCGCCCCCGCTGCCCCCGCTCCAACACCATTCCTCTTCGCAATCGTCCTCGAACCCGCAACTTTCGTCGAGACATTCGTCGGATAGTCATGAAGAGGCGCAGAGGCAGCAGCAGATGTTTATGATGATGCAGCAGCGGGGCAGGTTGGGGAGTATGGCGTCGATAGGGACGATGGGGACGGAGAATGGGACGACGGATGGGGAGGACTCGAGTGGGGAGTGGTTGGTGGATGCGTTGCCGGAAGGGTTTGAGCCGGATGCGAGGAGAGCTTCTGCGTGAGTTATACGTCTAGTTGTGTTTAGGGGCAAGGCTGATAAAGAATAGTCCGGCGGATCTGCTACATCAGATTGGGATTATGGGTCTGACGCCGAATGTTGCCGGTTTGAACGGCATGAGCGGTCCCGTTCGCCCTTCGCCTCTCAACACACATTTCACCCCCGACTCTTACCACCCCTACACCCCCCACTCTGCCTCCTCCACATCCACCTACCCCATGTCGCATCCCGGCTCCGACTCGATGTCGAACGAAAGTCCCACCCTTGCGCACTTTGGCAAGGATGTGCACTCGCAGGGCCATCTTTTCCGGCATGCGCAGCCGCATGGGCATCATCAGTATGGGCAACAGCATTCGTTTGATGGGTTTGAGCAGTGGGATGCGTCGGGTGGGGCTTTGGGTCAGCGAGCGGGGACGTTGGGCGGCGGCGGCGGAGCGAGACAAGGGCAGATGCCGCCTCTTCCTGCTGCCGACTATCATGTCAACCTGCTGCCGCATGGGCAAGAGAGCCATCTTGGGAGTGGGAGTGGGGAGAGCGAGGAGGGAAAGGATGATCTCCTCTATCTGACGGACTTTGGAGGAGGGTCGCATGATGCTGTGAATGTGCTGGTATAGATCCCGTACACGGTCCCGGTGGTTCTTCTGTGGACTTTTTTATTTTTTTCTTCTGGGCGTGTTTCATGTGTGCTTTTCCGTTTGGAGCTTTTGCAATTGCCTTCATGTTTCTTAGATTGGGGGATCCCGTTTGAGCTTTCATAACACATATATGGGCGCATTGGTCTTATTCATATCAAAACTTGTGTCATTTGGGTCCCTTGGTGAGGTAGTTACAATCCCTCTGTATATTTCATTGTTGTGTACGAGTATGGATATTGAGATGCTGCGCTGTTTAATGGTTTTGGGATGTGGAAGCGCTCGAGCGATTGAAGAATGAACCAAACAAGGAGAACGGGATCAATTTGGACTTGTGTTTGTGAGCCGTTCCCGGTCCTCGTCCTCTTGACGTTTGTCTTTGTCTTCTTCCACGTCCACCCATATTCGACATGGCGACCAATTCTCTCCACTCTTCTACAGACCTCTATCGGCGCCTCACATGGCAGTCTACCGTCCCCATATCCATCCGACTCGCCCCCTCCTCCACTTCCCCCAATGCCCCCGCCGCGATAACCGATACCTACTTCATCCAGGCGCCCCGGCATACGTACTTGCCGCTCCTGATCCGGGAAATAAAGCAGAACATGGTGGAGCTGGCGTTGGGGGATGAGGATGTGGCCAAGTATGATGTGAAGGATTGGTGGTTTGAGGAAGAGGAGGAAGTGGGGGGTGAGGGGGTGAGGAGCTTTGCGGGTCAAGGGGCTTGTCGATGGTACCGTTTTTTTAGCGTTCGTGTTTGACTTGTGCTGACGGGGAACTTAGGCATTGGCCGATAGACCTTATCGCTACCCATTCATACATGTCCCGCCCTCGCTCCCTACCCCTCGTTGCTCAAGCCTCACTTCCACCCGCCTCACCCCCCATACTCCGTCTTGTCCTCCATCTATCAAAGCCGCCAGCTGACAAGCTGCTCATGCCGAATGATCTCGCGACTTGCAAGTCGCAGTGGCTCAACCAGGTCAAAGAGGCAGACTTTGTGAGGTGGAGGAATACTACGAGGGTGACGAATTTGAGGAAGGTGGACCTTGAGGCGGGGTGGGATGGGATCGTCCTCGGTGAGTATGGCTCGTTATCCAAGGGCGAAGCTGATGGGAGTGCAGATGACTTTGAATCTTATTCCAAGATGGCGTCAAAGATCGTCCCTCTTCCGATTCCAGCACCGACAAACCAACAGCAGCCTTCTCGCCCACCTTCGACAGACCCGTCGGGTCGAGCTACTGCGACAGAGTCGACATATGCGACTCGTTCGGTTCCTATCAAGCTCTACCTCCCCGACAATGCTCCTGCCATCCAAGATGTGCTTTCCCCTATGGACGAGAATGGTATGATCTCATCTTCTCTCTGAAGTACCAAGCTTATCGTTCAATAGGCAAACCCAACACCCTCATCTCTGTCCTCCACAAGCTCATTCCCCTCCTCTTCCCTGTACCACCCTCATCATTCAAAGACCCGTACCCTCTTGCGTTTCCGATAGCTCAAGGGATAGTGTTGCCGGCGGAAGCGGATATTGCGTGGGTAGCGAGCTGCGTGTGTGGTGCAGATGGGTGGGTGAGACTGGGCATCTGTCTAAGGGCGGCGTGAGTTGGTGTATGAGGGATGAGATATATCAGAGCCGAGTCGAGCGTTGTATATATCATATATTTGATTAGAAGACGGACATGTATGTTATACTGCGCAGGCCGTTGAGTGTTCTGGCGTTCAATGATAGTGTTCAACATATCATGTCATGTATTCGATATTCTGGCAAGATTCTGTGTAGCACTCCTCTACTCGGAAGTATCCAGCAACGATGATGTTGGGGTGGTTCTACGCAGCACGTCCAGCCGCCAGGTCCTAGTACACGTCAGTAGAAAGCCCAGGGGGGAAGTCGTAGCGAGGACTCACCTTATAAACCTTCAAAGCTTCAAGCTCGCCAATAACTCTATCGTTCCTATCTCCTTCCGCCCTTCCCGCCCTCGCCAGATCTTCAAGACTAGGCACCCCATCCTCTCCCAAAACTCCCATACAGCCGACATCTTCACTATCCTTCCCGTCGTTCCTCGCACTCTCAATCTTGAGACCTTCCTCGTTGGCGAGATGCAGTAGACAGATGAAGCAGAACGATGTAGATATGTCGGACATCTTTTGAGCGGGGTAGGTGGTTCGGAGGGAGGTGATGATGTTGTTGAATGTCTGGACGGGTTCGGCTTTGTCCTTGTCGAGTTCGGCGTCAACAGCAGCGGCGTCGCCGTCCTCGTCGGTGGGGGAAGGGCCGTCGGGGATGAGCGTTTTGAGACCCGACCAGATATCGTCCTTCAACCTCTTCACATCCACCCTCTTCGCCTTCTTTGCGAAATGCACCGTCTCCGGCCTCGCCCTCTTCAACTCCATCCCTTGCGTCCCTGCCAGCAAGTCCTCCTCGCCGCCATCGCCGCCGGCGACAGGGATGGGTAGACCGTTCTCGTCGTATGTGATGAGGGGCTCGTCGTCGTAGCCCATGATGGCGGGCATGTCGGCGCCGCCGTCGTAGCCGTCGTCGTCGTCTTGGAAGAATTGGGATTCGAAGGGAGCGGGGGCGGAGCCGAACTCTGTAAGATAAAGTTAGCTTGGGTCGATGGGAGAGCGCCGGAGGAAAGCAGAACACAAATAGACACCACATGGGGAAGGTGATCGAGAAGCAGAAGAGTGGGAAAGAGAGAACATACCATCGTTGTCGACATCGCCCTCAGCTCGCTCAGCAGCAGCATTCGCCCAAAAGTTCTCATCAATCTCGCCGTTCTCATTCACTACCACTTCATCAGCACGACCAACAAACAACACGACTAGACGTACCCGGCGCTTGCGTCCCTCCCCCAGCCCTTCGCACTCTCAAAAAGAACTTTGGCTTCAAGAACAGCCTCAGCAGCTGATGACTGCTGAAGTGCATGTCGTCCGGTAGCAGGTACTCTTCCTTTCTCGTCTTTGCGGCGTTCTTGCCCTTGGAGCGGGATGAAGAGGGAAGGTTGAGCGAGGCTTTGGTTCCGGGGGCGAATAGGGTTTTGGTAGAGGTAGCATCGGTGGCAGGGGAGGAGAAGTCAATGGTGAAGGGGGCTTTGGCAGCGCGGGTGGTTTTGGCGTTGTTTGATGGCGTTGTTGGGTCTAGGAAGAGTGAGCGAGAATCACAGGTTGTAGAAAATGGGACCTACCTTTTCTAGAAACCTTTCGCAACTTCCAATGCTCTGCCCCTGCCCAACTCTTTCCCCCGAACCCTTGATCGAAATAGTCAAACATCCCATCCTCATCTCCTTCTCGAAGCCCGACCACGAGCTCGTCCCGCGCCTGGCGTGTACGAGGATCGAATGGACCTAAATGGTCGCCTTGACCTGCCAGACCGAGCGAAGCAGGTTGTGGGTTGGCAGCTCCGTCGTAACGCTCAGCAGCATCCGCATCGCCCATCATAGAAGCGTCATCGTCGAACCCTCCTTCGCCGTCACCACCACCGGCGTTGTAGTCGTCGAAACCGAAAAAGTCGTGCTCCTCCTCTCCTCCGACATCCATGGGCGCCATCGGTATGTCATCGCCGTCGTAAGCGGGATTGGGCTCGAATTGGAAGGGGGGCTCGTCGTCTTGGAATGTGTCTTTGAGGCCGAGGAGGGTGGTAAAGTCGGGGGTGGAGTCGGGGTCAGAGGAAAAGTGGAAAGATGAGAGGGTGTTGGAGATCTTTAGATCCTCGAGGGCGTCGACGGAAGGAATAAAGTCTAAGGGAAACGTTAGCTTGACTTTGTAAAGCTGGAAGAGTACGCACCGAGAAGCTTGTCGAGGTTGATTACATCGTCCCTCATCTCAAGCTCTTCCTCCTCATCTTCTTCGTCCCCTGCATCCCCAGCATCGAACACTACCCTCATCTTGTCGTCGACGCCGAGGTGGTTCATAAGAAGACCCATGGCGCCTCCCTCGTCAAAATCGGCGGAAGTCTTCTTGAAAAGGGGGTCGACTGTGAATTCAACGTCGAGTTTCTTGACTTGAAGCTGAGCGAAGGATTTGGCGAGGGTAGCTTCGGAGCGGGCAGTCTGCAGTATGATCAGCATTGTCTTGTAGTCGATCAAATAGTAGCATACCTTACGAGTAGCTTTGGGCGCGCCGCCTTCCTCCTCTCCCTCTTCGCCGTCTTCATCTTCAACGTCCTCTGCACGAACCCGTCAGCTTTACCCTCGCTTATAACATGACACGCACCACTTCCACCAGCAAGACCACTCAGAAGCTTTCCCGTCTCCGTAGCCACACTGTCCACTCGCGAAGTCCAGATCTTTACACACCCATCGAGAGTCGAAGACGCCTTCTGAAAGTTGATGCTCTGGTCGTCGGGACCGTTTCGAAGAAGGGTGAGGTCGGCAAAGTAGTCGATGAGAGCAAAGTTCCAGGTGTTGTTGGCAGTGATTTTCTATACAATTCTATCAGCTGAGCCCAGAGCAGTACGGAGACAACTCACATTATCAGTCGCCAGCTTCATCCACTCTTCGAAATTCGTGTTCATCGCCTCCATGCTGATGAGGGGCAGGCTGGATTCCACAGCAGACAGCCTCTTACCCCTCCTCTGGTTGATACCTTGCTGTTGAAGCGCGAGGCCGGATACGACTCGCTTGGCTGGGGCGGCGGCATCTTGTTCGAGGTGAGGGGGAAAGTGGGCCGACTTGCGTCGCTTGGCTTTCTCGGATGCATCGTCGTTGATGGAGCTGGTCGAGCGGTGGAGGGGATTGTCGTGGGCATTGATAGACACCCGTGCTCGCTTGCCGGCCTGCTTGGACATGGCGTGATAAATGTAAAGTAGATACAAGATCATCGAATTGTGGTGCTTGTTTGTTTTGACGCGTTTGTTACGTAAATGCATCCGGCAGCCGGCTTCATCCTTCTCTTAACTTGTCGTCTTCGTTGCCCAGTCCACCACTCCTAGGGGCGCAAGGCCAGTGATAGTGAGAGCGAGAAGAGCCAAAGAATAGAAAACAAATCAGGGAGCGTATGCGTCAATCGCGAATCCGCGCATGATGCCTCCATCTGCTATACCGTGGACATGTTTGGAGATAACGACTGCTCGATATGTCCAGTCGTTAAGGTCTGGATCGCCGAGCTCCCCGGCTGGTGAAAATAGAAGGCGTCTACTGGAGACAAGCCTCTTTTGAACTCCTGCCTCCAATGTGGGCAAGACGCAAAAAAGCAGACTTCAAAAAGGAATACACCGTAAGGGAATCGAACCCTTGCCGCAACTATGGCAAAGTTGCATGATACCATTTCACCAACGGTGTTAATACAAGTCAATTCCTTGAACTCAGATATTGGAAGATAATTCGGAAGATAGGGAGGAGTGACAGAGAACCAGAGGAGAGTCAAGTGAACGGTCCAGAACAGGGTGTGTGTCCTTCTTTCATGTTCATGTGTATGCTCAGCTGACGACCGCGTGCTAGGGTGAAGAGGGTTACATAGATCTTGTAAAGCTCATCAGTGCTATGTACTTAGGCTGTACGTAAGACGATGTCGATATGAGGGAAAAAGACAGGACGGCCATACTCGCCAAGTCTCAAAAAACCCTCTCGCCTCTATCTACTCCTCCTCCTCTCCCTACATCCACAGCGTCCTTGCTCTCGCCTTCACCAACTCGATCCCCACCCTACTCTGCATCCCCTGCCACACCTCT